GGACGGGACAGGAGGGGGACGGGGGGACGGGACACGACACACACAACAACCGACAGTGTTTTTGGTGTCACATTTTTTGTCCCTGCAGGACCTCCTGCCTGAAGAGCCCAAATCTGCCCGTGAATTTTTTCTGCAAGTTATTTTCACGCAGCTCTGCACAGCCATGACAGGAACAGAAGTGCTGAATTCTCCTCCGGGGGTGTTCAGGGGTTGATGAGAAGCAGGAGTGAACATTAATCTTTTGACATACTGTTCCCAAGAGCTGTGTTTTTCAGACTTGCTCTGTTGGGGAACCTCCTGAGAAAGACCTGGATTGAAATCCTGCTCATGACACGGCGGTCAAGACCAGAATTCCCCAGCCAGGACGTCACTGCCTCAGCTTCAGTGGCTTCTTCCAGCAGTTTCTTCTTGTGGGTTTCCTTTGATGGGAGAACATGGACTAACCATTTTTCCTTCCACCTTCAAGCTCTTGCTTTGGTCACAGGGCTGAAGAAAAAAGGGAAACACTGAGCAAGATCCAGCTTTTGAGTGGTTTTAGCCATTTCCACGAGGCACTTGGCATACTCATGTGTGTGCACCCACAGACAGCCATGCTTGTGGCCAATTCAGCACCTTCATGTTTTGTGCATGTGGATTCCTTGTAGGGATCTGGTATTTGTTGTCAAACCTGCACCCCTGCCGGAGCTGGCTGGGGTAGGAATGAAGCCCCCTTGCCCTGCTCTTTTTTTTCTACATTGAGACTGATAAAGTGATGGGGGGGACCTGCACAGAGGCAGGTGGCATGTCTACATTATAGAATGTTTTCCAGGTATTAAATAGAGCCTGGACAATGGCACCCAGTGGGGTGATGTGTTTGCTGTGCGAGGGCCTCATTAGCGCAGCACCCACTGGCCCAGGAATAGAGGGATTCCTTTCAAAGCCCAAACCATGCAAGTGCTACTTTTAAAAGCAATTGAACCTAAACCCATAACTGCTCTGAAAGTGGCTGTGTTTTTGCAGTGATGTCTCTCCTTACTTCAGGGTGGTTTTGCAGATTCCCCTCTCCGGGCCTCTTTGCACGCTGCAGTAAGAAGCTCTCCTGATTTTGCATCTTGGTGCTCCCAACTCTTGCCTGTGGGTTCCCGTCTTCCTCTCCAGGAGTAGCTGCAGTTTAGAGGTGATTTATTTACGACTGCTGGCGAGTCGGAACCAGTGGGAGCCCCCGGGATGGAGACGGCTGCCTGATTTGCCATACTGATAAGTATGAGCCAAATGCACCCAGCGATGCCAGATGGTTGTAACGTTATCTGTCACAGTGGATCTCTGAGCAGATGGATCCTATATAAACATTTCACAACTGTGGTATTATTATTGATGCAATTACTATTAATACTATTTATAAGTATTATATTAACACAAACATAGCACTTTAATAAAGAGCACAAGGCATGCTTAGCGTGATTGCTGGTCTAATAATTAATGACGACTATCAGTAATACTATCTGCTATTACAACTAGCGCTGCAATGGCAACACATCTTGATTTTCAAAGGAAGGAGGGTTTGGAGAAAGGTTGATGTGATGAGTCAGAGCTCAGGGAAAGCTGTGGGAGTTGGAGAGTATTCCCAGCTTCAGAGAAAATTGTCATGGGAGACTGAAAACCAGGGACATTAATGAATTATGGGTCTTGGGAGAAGCAGTTTGGGGCTGTAGGTGTTTTCAGGCATTATGGCTCTGTACTGGCCACCTCTGAAACAGCCTTTGCAGATTTCTGGGCTCTGAATTTAAGGTGGCCAGAGCATCTGGGCTAGAGCAATGTGAAGTGTATGGTTTGTGCCTTAGTGCCAAAGAAAAAGCATGAATTGAGGGATCTTGGACCTGTTATTTGCCTGTGCTCTCATTTCAACTCTGCTTCTGACCTGCTGTGTGACTTTCCATAAATCTGTGCCTCCATCTGTCTTGTCTATTTTTATTGCAGTCTTTTTTGGGCCAGGACTTGGTTGTGTGTCTGTCTGCGGCTCCTAGCACAACAGGGTGCTGAGTCTAATCAGGACCTCTAGATCCCATAACAACGCCGGGAATGAGATGACTGGGGATCCTGGTCGGAGCTTGGGGCTTGATGGTGCTCCAGGGGCAGGATTTGTCTGGCCTAACTTGAAACACTGAAATGTGTTCAAGTCTGAGCTAGTTTCCACAGCCCAATGTTTACCTTAGAGCTGACTGCAGTATGAGATAATTTGTAGGTTTTGTTTTTTTTTTTTTTCTCCATAAGGATTATGGAGAGAGCTGAAGGTGTTTAAGTGCTTAACTTTCCTGTGCGCAAGTTAGGGTGAATGAAACTCACCCAAAGTCTGCGTTTGAGAGAAGGGCCTGTTTTCTCCTTATGGTAAAAAACCTAATACAATGAATTTGGAAGTGGCTACGTTTGCTGACATACAGAGAAAGAAACCCAAGGTCTTTTAAGTACTTTCTTGCCCAGCGTGTCATGCAGTGACATATCTTCTGATGTGTCGGACTCCAGGAGATGGAGAGGACTAAGCACAAGCTCTCAGAGGGGTAGTGAGCATCCTTTGAACTCCATTGCATATCATGAAGTCCCTGAAGTCTCCTAGTAGCAAGGCCCCTTCCCTGGAGGATGGTGCAGCTGTGGGACAGGTCCCTCCCTGAGAGAGGTGCTGGAGCTGCCATCCCCAGAGATATTCAGAAGTTGGCTGGACAAGGCTTTGAGCTAATGTTGAAGCTAGCTGAAGTCCTCTGAGGAGATCAGACTAGAGATGTCCAGAGGTCCCTTCAAGCCAAAATTCTCAGACTTTTGTAAAAATCCCTTTTTATATGCACCTGAATCTTAAGGCATTTTTATACCTTAAAATAAAATCATACCTAGACATTTCTGCTCCAGTAGATCTTTTTGAAAAACGCGGGGTAGCCTATGGATGGCTTTAGAAATTATTTCCCATCTATAGATGTCAAATGCAATAAGGGATTTGGAGGTTCCTGCCCAATGCAACAACATGGGAAAGATTCATGGTATGTGCTTTACCCCCCAAAGAACTTCTTGGCTTCCCAGTGCTTTGTTAATGTGCATTGATTATGTTCTGAGGAGTTTACTGCACCGTTAGAAAGTCATTTAGGGATTTATTGGGCTGGCTTTAAATACTGAAAGTGAGTCATTACCCTGACACACTTGTGACGTGCCTGAGCCTAATGCTGAAGTTCAGGAGGGGGAGACTGCAGCCCAGTGGTGAAAGCCCTCCCAGGGAACTTTCTTCTGAAGGTAACAAAGGAGTTAAACAGAGCTTGGTAAGGCACATCACTGCAAGCCTAAGAGTACACAGGAATCGCTTAATTTCCTCTTCCACCCCGCTTAATCAGAAATAATAATAGGATAGCAATAGAAATTCAGACACGATGATGATGAGTGCTGTAGAACAAAACAGGCTGCGCAGGCAAAGCCCAGCTCTTCACACCAGTGACAGGGAACGAGAGATTTTTCACTGAAGGATTTTCATTGAAGATCAATGGGACTTGGCTGTCTGCCTCCCATCATAAATTTGAATGTCTCTCCTTAGATTTAGACGATTATTGGTGAGACATGTTGGCAGTTTCACTTCAAACAGAAGGGGGATGCCAGAGATTGTCTTAGAATTTAGGATTTGGCTCAACCCGAATCATGGGATGGGCCATTAGCCAAGAAAAATGTAAACCCTTTCTGGAAGAACCATTGATATTTTTGTGGGGATTCTTTGTGGTTTGGTTGTTTGTTTTTTTTTTCTTTTATTTTTTTACAGTGCACTGCTGCAGGGGCATGCTTGGGGATTCCAGCTGATATAGTAATAGCAATAATAATAATAATAATGGTAAGACACTGAGGTGCACACTGGCAGTTTGTTTCCTCCCAGTGCACAGGCCAAGCTGTGTTTTGCTCCCAGTCCGATGGCTCCTAGGGGTCTGGGGAGCCCAGCTCTGTGGTTGTCCTCAGAGCACACACCAACCTTAGCATTTCTATTTGCTTTTGCATTCAGACTTT